AATGACTAAGCGATGACTAATCAATCCTAATCACAATCAATTCTAATCAATCACAATCAATCCTAATCAATCATAATCAATCCTAATTAATAGGAAATAAAAACGGAAACATGTTTGAATTCTGATTTTCTACACTTCTATCACTAGGAGATCCAGCACAGTCAACATCTGAATAAGCAACAATATATGCAAGGCCCCAATTAGCATATACCCCTTTCCAAAGATTATGAACCATTGCATCCCAATGAACACCGGTGAGCGTTAAGGAAATGACAACACTAATGGAAAAGGGTATATCCAATCTAGTCATAGTGTGATTAATCTTACTCCTATGTAAATTTTCCGTGGTGAAATACAATACTTCATAACAGAAAATCTCTAGTACAGCAAGTAATAAATGTGATATTGCAGGACTTGAAGGATTATGATGGAACCCAAATTTATAACACTGATTTTATTGCATCAATGGAGGCAGAGCCTCTTTTTACAAACACTAATTGCAGAACAAGACACTAAAAGACCCCAACTCACCCTTAGAACCGACACACCTAGGCTCTAAGAGATCCCCAATATTCATTCAATACATGCATACCTCACTCCACACATTCCCCCACCTTTTATCCCCTTCTCTAAGCATATTTTAAAGGAATCCCCTAACTAACTAACTAACTCCCCCTTTTCCAGGCCCATCAGATTATAACACCAGATGATTCACAAGACTTAAAGCCAACTAGATAAAGAAAACGAAAATGCAGGCCAAAGAGTAAGGATAGAATATTATGATAGGCTACAATGCATGAATATGGGTACTTCCAATTTATCCAAAACAATATGGCACATGAATACGGCAATGAGACCATTTATTAAGGTTACCCAATCTCTCAATAAAAAACACGTTGGTCGGAAATACCTTTTGAAGAAAAGGAAATTCAAAAGGCTGTTTGCAGCGTAGAATGGGAAAAAGTGCCAGGCAGGGCCTGATGGTTTTACTGCTCCCATGTTTTGAAACTGTTGACACTTCGAAAATTATTTAAAAGGAAAAAAATCTGATGATGCCATTGCGTTTTGACAAAAATAAAGATGAAATAGACTGAAAATACAACCTTGGACAAAAAATTCTTTTCCACCTTTGCATTGTAAGAACCATATCATAGAACATAAAGTTATTTTAATCAGGTTAGGGTACCACACAAACAAGTGAAACTTCTCCACAAGTTGTACTCATATTCCAGTCATCTATGAGCACTATTAGAGCAGTAAGCTCAAAATATCTTAAAATTGAACCAGTTGCAGAGAATCCTTCAGCCAAGAAGATCACTAATCTCATCATGAATTGAATACTAACTGAAGAAAAGAAGAAGTGGAAGAAGTGTTTTATCTGAATAATACTTTCTTGATTCATTGAGAGACCCAATGGGTCCTTTTTATATTGAGTACATCCAACTACCTCAACTACTTTAATAAATATACAACCACCAACTACATCAATAAATATACAACTACCAACTACATCAATAAATACTATCTAGAATATTCTACATATTCTACACTCCCCCTCAAGTTGGGAGATATATATTGATCATTCCCAACTTGCTGATCAAATTCTCAAAGGTCGGCTTAAGTAATCCTTTGGTGAGGATATCCGCCGTCTGTTCCTTGGTAGGTATATATGTCAAGCATACACTACCGTCTTCTAATTTCTCTTTGATAAAGTGACAATCAACTTCCACATGTTTTGTTCTGTCATGATGAACAGGATTTTGAGCAATGCTGACAGCAGCCTTATTATCACAATATAATCTGATAGGTAGGGAATAAGAGATCTTCAGCTCCTCCAGAAGCCTTCGTAACCAAATTCCTTCACAAATACCATGGGCTAGAGCCCGAAATTCTGCTTCTGCACTGCTTCTTGCAACAACAGTTTGTTTCTTACTTATCCAGGTCACAAGGTTTCCCCAGACATAAGTACAATATCCTGAAGTAGATCTTCGGTCCATTGTAGAGCCAGCCCAGTCTACATCTGTATAGATTTCAATCATCCTTTTGTGCCCCTTTTTAAAGAAAATTCCTCGACCAGGGGTATTTTTGAGGTATTTGAGAATTCTATAAACAGCACTAAGGTGTTTTTCCTTAGGAGAATGCATGAATTGGCTAACCATGCTCACAGCAAAAGCAATATCAGGACGAGTGTGAGACAAATAGATTAATTTTCCCACTAGTCTCTGGTACTGCTCCCTATCAACATCTTCCCCGTCCTTAACTCCCATCTTGATATTAGCTTCAATTGGAGTCTCTGCCGGCTTGCACCCAAGCATACCTGTTTCTTGCAACAGGTCTAGAATGTATTTTTTCTGAGTTAAAGAAATTCCTTCCTTACTCCGAGCAATTTCCATGCCAAGGAAATATTTGAGAGATCCAAGATCTTTTAGTTCAAACTGGTCAGCTAAACATTTTTTTAAAGAGGTTATCTCCTCGCTATCATTACCAGTGACAATTATGTCATCAACATAAACGATCAGAATAGCAATTCTTCCTTTGTCGAAGTGTTTAAAAAATAAAGTGTGATCAGTCTGAGCTTGGGTGAACCCTATTCCCTTAACAGCTTGAGTAAATTTCCCAAACCATTCTCTGGGAGATTGTTTAAGTCCATAGAGAGACTTCTGCAACTTGCACACAGAACCATCCCCTTTTTCAAAACCAGGAGGTGGATCCATGTAAACTTCCTCATGGAGATTACCATTCAAGAAGGCATTCTTAACATCTAACTGTTGCAATGGCCAATCAAGGTTGGCGGCAAGAGATAGCAGAACGCGGATAGTGTTAAGTTTGGCAACAGGAGCAAATGTCTCCTGATAATCTATCCCATGAGTCTGAGTAAATCCCTTAGCAACTAATCTGGCCTTATACCTATTGATGCTATTGTCTGCATTGAATTTTATTGTGAACACCCACTTGCAACCAACAGTTTTCTTTCCTTTAGGTAATGTTACAAACTCCCATGTTCCATTTTTTGTAAGTGCATCCATTTCTTCTAATACTGCATTCCTCCATTTTGGGTCATCAAGTGCTTCTTGGATATTTTTGGGTATCCTGGTACTATCAAACATAGTGTTGAAAGCACGAAAACCTGGAGACAACTTTTCATATGAGATATAATGGGAAATAGGATGAGCAGTGCAAGATCTAGTACCTTTCCGAAGAGCAATAGGCATATCAACGTTGGTTGTACTAGTACATTCAAGTGGGTTGCTGGAACAAGGACTCGAGTCAGGATCCTGGCAGTCTAGAGTATCTTCATGTGTTTTGCGCCTGCTGTAAAATTTTCCCCATTTACCAGGAGGATCACAAGGAGGATAATTAGATTCAGGTATAGTTGCTCCCCCTGTTTCCTTCCCAATAACTCCACTTGTTTCCAAAGGCCAAGGTAAGACAGCAACATCATTTGGTTTCTCAGGCTTATCTTCATCCATACCAATACCAATAGACTCCCCCTGAAGAGAAGTCAACTTTGATGAATAATTCCATGCTGGTTTAGGTAATCTCCAAGAACTGAATTAAAATATTCAGTACCATTGTCTGTTCGCAGAATTTTGATAGAAGTCTGAAATTGAGTTTGAATCATAGCATGAAAGTTTTTACAAGTGGATGCTGCCTCAGACTTATCTTTTAAGAGATATACCCAACATACCCTAGAATGATCATCAATGAAAGTAATAAACCAACGAGCACCCAAGACATTTTTTTCACGAGCAGGTCCCCAAACATCACTATGAATCAATGTAAAGGGAGAAGATTCATGATATTTCTTAGGAGAATAAGTGACACGAGAGTGCTTTGTAAGCTGACAAATATCACAAAGAAGGGAACTTGGCTTTTTATTGATAAATAAGTTCGGCAATAACTTCTGGAGATAAACAAAATTTGGGTGTCCCAACCTACGATGCCATAACAAAACATCATTACAGTCATCTGATAAACATAGAGAGTGGTTCGAAAAAATCCTCTTTTCACAATGAACATCTGTAAAATAGTATAGCCCTTCTTCCTCTCTAGCACTGCCAATCATCATCCCCAAGTCCTGTTCTTGAAAGATACAAGCATTTGCAGAGAACTTAGCAACACAATGCAACTCAGCAGTAAGTTTGCTAATAGAGATGAGATTACAAGTAAGAGAGGGAACATGAAGTACTGAGTTCAAAATAATATGCTCAGAAAGTTTAATGGATCCCTTTCCCGCAATAGTGGAGAAATTCCCATCAGCTGTTCTTATTCGTGACGGGTGATAGTAAGGGGTATAGGAGAAAAATAAGGTTGCATTACCTGTCATGTGATCAGAGGCCCCTGAATCAAGGATCCAACGATTACTATGTTCAACATGGAATGCCATACCTTTTTGAGCAACATGACTAGTTGCCTCAGCAGGTTGAGACATCAATTTCTGAAAAGATGAATTTTCAAAATTTTCAACGTCCATGGTTTTCTAACAACAGGTACCCAGAAAAAAGTTCCTCCAAATACAATGAGAGCAATCTTGGCTACAGTGAAACTGTAATTGCTACAGTAATCTGTGGGCTGGCTCAGAATCTTGTTCTGAACCTAATGGTGGCCTTGGTTTCATGGTTGGAGGTGTCTAGGTAAGGATTCTGGCTTGGGCAGTGGCTAAAACGAAAAAAAAGGAATAGGAAAATGACTTAAAATTAAATCAGAACGAGGAAGAGACTGGAATATAACCAGCTCTTGATACCATGAAGAAAAGAAGAAGTGGAAGAAGTGTTTTATCTGAATAATACTTTCTTGATTCATTGAGAGACCCAATGGGTCCTTTTTATATTGAGTACATCCAACTACCTCAACTACTTTAATAAATATACAACCACCAACTACATCAATAAATATACAACTACCAACTAAATATACAACTACCAACTACATCAATAAATACTATCTAGAATATTCTACATATTCTACACTAACATCAAAAGGAACAAAGCAAAGCTTACAGCTTTTTCGGAAGGCAAAGGTAACTCATCAAAAACTCCCATATTGAGCCTTCAAAGTCTCCCCACAGCATGAAGATATAGATTAACTCATACTAGCAAACCCACAATTCTAACTGCAATCCATAAGTACAAGTTAAAAACATAAATAAAATTCTCAAATTCATTTAATACAAATCATGTACCATCTTAAAATAAAAAAATTGCACCTAAATGAATGAAAATAACTCTCTAGATTTTAACTGGAAATGAATCACTAGAATTCTTATGCAAAATTACAAGGTATTAATATATAACGTAAGACTTCAATAAAACATAGTTTAAAACAAAATTGGAATAACAAAAACAGAAAAGATCAAATGAAGATAA